AGACAAGAGAAAGAACAATATATTTAATATGAATAGAAGATATAAGGTGACATTCATTAGGGACCACGCCTGCATGGCCAATTCATTCAACCCATTATTCCCGCCTTCTGTATCGTTAGGTATTTCTCCGCGTTTAATATTGAATATCTATTTTCCGAGTAGTCTCGTATTCAGCTTTGAGGATTGTGTAGTTATGGTCCAATGCTACTACATTCCCACTTTTTTGTTTGAAACTTTTCAACCTATCTATGGAATATGGGACTTATCCATCTGTATGGAAAACATCTCTTATCACCCCTAGATTTAAAACAGGATCACGTAGTGATATTGTTAACTGTGGGCCACTTAAGTTCACACCCGTGCTGTCAAGAACCATGGAAATAATCATCCACAAACAGTTATTATCATTTTAGGATTCGGCTAGTCTGATTAGCCCATCCGAACACGGATTTCTGACTAAACGCTTATGCTCCACATTGCATCTGGAATTTTTTGATCAAATTACCCAGAGAAGAGATGTTGGTCAGTCAGTGATAATCCTTTACTTTGATTTTAGTAAGGCTCTCGACAGCGTCTCACACAAACTTCTTCTAAAACTCCCTTCATTTGGCATACAGAATCCCCTTTTATCTTGGCTCAAATCTTTTTTAGAAGAACGTAGCCAAATCATTTTCTTTGGCTCTTGCTACTCTAAACCTGTGAATGTAACCAGTGAGGTTATACAAGGAAGTGTGATTGGTCCATTACACTTTCTTCTTTTATCAATGATGTGTGTTCCCTCTTTCAGTATGGCAAACCTTCTCTTTTTGCCGATGACCTAAAAGTAGTTTATTTATCCTTTTCTCCCACCAAAGAAAGTTATATTTCAGCGTTAATCCAAGAAGAAATAAACAAGTTATACGGATGAACTGCTTCGTAGAACTTGCCACTCAGTGTTGACAAAAGTGGATTTATTCACATTGACCTCTGCTTTAACCTAGATCTGGATATACAAAAACATACACTGAAACCTCTCAACACTGTTCGTGACATAAGTTTAAGATATAGCAAGACTTTGAACTTTTCTAAGCATATTACATCTCAAGTATCCAAAGCTGGAAAGATCATCGGATTGATAATGATAAACTTCAATGATATCGAATAAAGATTATTATAATACAGATAATGTATCTTACCCATTCCTGAATATGGCATTTTAGTTTACATTGACTGCAGGCCTAATGACCTGATTAAAATTGAAGGTGGTCAGAGAAAGTTCACCAAAGCTGTTCTGAGGTATTCCGACTACAAATACTATCACCAAATATTTCAAGATCTCAAATTAGAACCTCTCTGAATCAGGCGTATCAAATTAAACTTTGTCTTTATCTATCGGCTGATTAACGATGTTTCCTACTCTTCGGTATCCACCCCTTCATACTCTATGATATCATCCCACAATCTACGCAATAAAAAAAATATTCTAGCGATCCCAAGGACCGCTCAAACTTACGCTAGAATTTTTTCGTCATTCGTCACTCAACAATGTGGAACAGACCGTCAGTGAACCTCTGTTGCAGTGAAACTACAACCCGGTTCAGAAGTCTCCTTGATGATTTTCTTTCCAAAAGCGGATTGTGTCACCTACTGAATACCAATGTGTTTAATAATGAATTATACAAACAAGTCTGTCATCCGTCTAATTGACTGAAAATCAAAATGTAACCTTTGAAACTTTTCACGCCTCATATAACAAACTGTTATTTGAGAATAAAATTGTTATTATTAATTATTATTATTATTTTATTCCTATTCATCTTAATGTCTGAGGTCTGCTTATGTTCGTATCCATAATTATTACCGTTATTAATATCATTATTGGCCCCTCAACACATTAGATATTCTTTTCATCTCTTCTTATCATTCTAAGCATATAATAATCCTAAACATCTAAAGTCTAAAACCAAAAACATATTATCTCAACGTACACTTAAACAAATTAACTTCTCAGGTTCATTTTATCATCACCACATATATAACTCACAGAAATCTGTATTTGATTATTCTTTGCAATTGATTGTGACTTTAATAGCATCATTCTTGATACTAATATCTGGTTTCACTCTGTATACGGTTACATAAATCAACGTGTATTTATCCCAGTGCAGTAAGGGGTTTTTATCTTATTTTTTTAATTGTTGGCTTACTTCAGAGGTCGATATTCATTACACTATTATTATTATTATCATGCTTTAACACTTTCAATGAGTGTTCATTTCTTTTTCCTCCCTCTTTTCTTTCTAAATAAATATTATACTTAAGATTACGAAGTTTGTAATTGAGACAATAACTTGTGTTACACGTAAATTAACTTCATAGACTCGATTCATCTTCACTGTGTACGTATGACTCATATATATTGATATTTGGTTATCCTTTTTATTAAATTGTGACTTTCATAGCATCACTCCAAACTATGACTGCACAAACATTTATTCTAGCGCCATAACTTACTGCAATCATAAATCATTTTTACTTAATTATTTTCTACTTTATTTTTTTTACTAGTTTGACGATACATACATAGTCGTTTATTCTTGTTTTGTGTTCATAAACACACCTAATTAGCTATTTGCGTATTTCACGTTTCCTTTATTTTCATCCTTTCCTTCTTCAAACTCAATTACACAGAACCTGATTTATTATTATCATTCTATTATTATTACTGCCTTTTTAAAATATGGCAAATATAGTGCTAATATTATTTAAGCTGGTGTATCATTGCATTTTTAAAGAAGCTTGGAATGGTTTCTTCACAACACTTATGTAACCATAAGATGTTTGTGAAAAACATAATGATAGGAGGAACATGGAGACGAACAGTTTATTTATTTAAAAATTATATCATAAAAATATATGTATAGTATTATTCCAGAAATAAATTTCAACAGTTACTTGTCATTATTCTCATCAGGATATAACAAGTTCGACATTGTCGCAACTTTTTGCGAGTTGAGAATTTAGAAATTTTGTATTGCCATCTGGAAAATCGCTAATTGCTTCACATAGTTAACTTATTTGGCACACTTTTCAGTGATAGTATTATATTCCACAACTACCGTAGTATGTGTAGATGTGCTCTCCGAATACTTCACTGGACTAGGTGCAAGATATCAACAAAGGAGAAATAAAGGCAAACAAGGAGGAAAAAATGGAATATTACGTAGGAAAGTAAGGGGGGAATAAAGAGGAAACTCGCGAAAATTTTCTCTTTTCGTCTGTCATGAGGAAATTACGAGAAAATTTTTCCTTTTTGTCGCTTTGTGTTGGAAATGTTGTTGAAATGTCTAATTTTCGCCCAAAAACACGTAGAGATGTATGCTTTACGCTTACTTACACGTCGAGTTGTCTACTTTTTGCCTACGTGATGTGTCTATGTGATGATGACACGAGCATCAACTTGGTCACGATTTGTCTTCACTTTATTTCTCCATTTTGAATATGTGTTATTTCGGAATACACTAGGGAAATGGAATGGCTTGAACTAAGTATTAAGGATGTCGATGCTAGAGAGTTAGCGGATGACATAAAAAAATACTACGAACGTTGAGCTGTCATATTATCCCGGGCGAATTCACAGTAAGAGTGAGATGTGTAGCTTGTGAATACAAAGCAAATAGTTGTATCAACTGAAATTCAAGTATGCACTATTGTTAAAATGTCTTACATATTCAGAATCTGTATATCACCTGTGTGATGATGATTTTTCTCATTTTTTGCCGGGTAATGACATTTACTAGATGGTCATGTCATGTCTGTTTTTTGTGAATAATGTTGAGAATATGTTGTGAGGGAGAGATTTTGCGAAAACATACAAGAAAGTTCGTTGACAAAATATTGGGGATCGAATATAGAGAAGTCATTATTTGTGGAAATTATATTTGAAATAATCTCAGCGATTGAAATGTAAAACAATTACAACGTTTCGTCCGGCGAAGTTATCTGGAACTCCTCAGGGTAATAATCAAAATTCAGGCAGGTCTGCTAGACAAGACTTTGGAATCATTTTAGTTTTCAATCGCTAAGATTATTTCAAATATAATTTTCACATATAATGTTATACAATGAAGACTATTAAAAGTAGAGCAGTAGGAATACATTAATTCATTGCGAGTATCTAAACTAATTTGATACTTGTCTGAATATTGCAGTATCACAGTATCATCACCATTGAAGGGTCGATATGATAGGCCCGAGAAGGAGAAAAAATGAACAAATCTCTGTTGACTGCGTCCTGGAGACATCTGGAGCCATTAATGTAGCTTATATCAAAGTCAGTCTAATCGTCATATATTCAGAGAGGTTCACTGTTCGTGATCAACTATTGGTGCGCTTTTATAAGGGTGAAAAATTAAGCTTTGAAATGTAACATCACAAAACTTACCATATAAAGAGTTTCGTATTCATTCGGATGCTTTCATTCTAGTCATGTGATATTTTTAAATGTCTGGTGAAGATCAGCTCGGTCAGTATAACATGTCCTTTTTATTGAAGGATTTGAACCAACCAATTCTCCAAATACCTAGACCCTCTCTATAAACATTTGAGAGGTATATCACCTATAGGATACTTGCCTAAGTTCAGCACAAACACGAACCTGGAAAAAACAAAATAGTATTAAAGGTAACCAACAGAAAACTGAATACAGCTTCTGTTCCCCAAAGTTAGCCAAACCTTGGGGTTTACTAACATTTAGGGCCGTTTAAGAAACCTTCCAGGAGTCCCTAAATAGGGAGCAATGATGTCTTTTTAAGTACCCAAAGTGAAATTTCAGTAATTGGCCGACATCTCCTTTATTTCTTTTTATTTCATTTATCGAGGTCCGTAACTAGAGGCACCGGTTATCCATTGTTACCAGAAACGAAGGTATAATAGGTAAAGGTTTCTTCTATTACGTCATCAACCATTTAGACCGTTTGAATTCATCAGTAGTTTAAAAGTCTTTGAATCAGTTCGATATCATGTCATGGCAATCATTTCTGACTTTTGGAGCAATATTGTGTGAAATTGGGACTATACAGTCTGCTATTGTACTTTTTGTTTTTCTTACTCATGTTGCGCGATATCAGAAAATGAAAGCTGTAAGGCATTTAAAAGCTTCTAGTTTTGCCTGTCCCATTGTGTTGCTTATATTCTGAACTACTTTAGCATAAGCTGAAGTCTTAGTTTGGTTATCATCATCCTAATAACCTTCAGTATCATGTCAACGTCCATTTAGGAAGATAGTTAAGTGAGTTCACATCTAGCTATCCATTATAACGTTTATATTATATGGATTGGTTGTGTAAAAACAATGGTGCGTAGCGAATTCTCAGTAAGTATTTGAATGTGTCTGGATAGGTGAAATGATATATAATATTTCAAGTCACCAGAGGCAGGAGCTCCTAAAATTGATAGGTTGATAGTTGTCATATCTTAACGTTTACAGTCTCATACCAAGTACCAGGAGAGTTATAGACTATTACTTCACCGTATTTGATGGTCTTTGATGGTTTCTGTCACTTTTGATCAGCTTTCAGTTAATTCTCTGCGTTAGACAATGGTAATTCACTAACCTGTCCTTGTTGGGTTTATTTGTTTTTCGGGATGAGTTTTTGGGATCGTAGAATCGAAAATTGAGTGTAACAAAACGCGCTTAACGATCTTCATCTTCACAGTCTTCAGCTTGAGCTCATCGCAGGACACTAAATTAGGCTACTATAGTTATCAGTAAACGACCAAAAAGCCGGTTCTGGATCACTATTTCTTGTTTCAACAACTACTTCATTGTTCTTAACCGTCAGGAGTGCGAATTCATAAGTTTTCGTCGTAGTTTAAAACCTAGGATATTGAGAAAGTTGAATTTCGCAATTTTTAGTATAGTTTCTTGACATTAATGTATACATGTCTTCCAAATACTTCACTGTTCCATTTGTAATTTTTTCGAGGTTCTAATGGGCGAAACAAATCACTTCATTTGTTTATGACTGTTTCTTGGTGCTGAGATACCGTTTCAGATGTCTTGCGGAGATGTGTAGTTTATATCGTCACTCACTGTTATTTTAGTAATTAGTCTCCAGTGAGAGATTATGATTATCTCACAAGCGTTAACTCAGTGATTTGTGAAGACTAAATTGGCATTAATTAGACTCCTGAAGTGATCCTGTGTCTTACTTCAGCTAACGTTGCTCCTCAATTTATGCCAAATATACGCCACAACGTTTGGTTTTCTGATGGTGAAGCCTTAGCCATATAAACAGCATATTTTAGAGAATACTGACTTATCGTAAAGTAAATTGTTATGACCCTAGTGTGTGTTGTACGTAGTTTATTATGGTCGGGGGATGGTCCTTTGAATAATCACATCTGCGATCAGGAAATATTTGTTCATTGAAAAAGGTTAGGTTGACTAATTTTTGTATTTTTTCTGTACTTATCAAAAGTGATAATTGTTCCGCGCCTATTCTTTTTTCACTGTTTTTCAAATGATATATTCGGATAATAAAGATATTTGGCAAATTATTATTTTTTACATACTTAGCCCGACCTATTTAACTAAAAATGGGATACTATACGATTGGAAAGACATTATATTTTTCAATAAATTTATGCCTGGTGTTATTACTGCTGTGGAGTGGTGTTCACTGGTACACAGATTCAGAATCCAATAGATGTATACTCACTCGGATGATGAGTTTTCCCGAATTCGAAGTAAATTTTTATTAAATAGTTTATCTTTAGGAAGTCAATGTTGATTGCCAACGGAAATGCTACGTAGGCTATGCCCTGTATCAATATCGGGAAGGGTACATTCAAACATTTTATTGTGTTTATTTATTTTTTCTCTTTCTTCAGTTCTAGATTCCGGTATTTCACAAAATTTCACAATGCTTATTTTAGATCCGGACTCTACAATTCTCCAGTTTTGTTTATTACAGGTTCTCAAGGAAGTTTCAAGACAGTCAGATCATTAGCAACAACTGTCTATAATTTTGCACAATATAGTTCATCACTTGATTACTACAGTGTTGATTTCAATGAAGTAAGGGGATGTATATACTTATTTTAATACACTGATTAGATACACGTATGCATATATATGTCGTTCTATAAGTTCTCAGTAGCTGATAAAATAAAATGCTCATTCATTTTATTTTATGAAAAATGTTGTAAAACTTTGGTGCATGAAATTGTGCACCGATATTTTTCAATAAGATGGGTCACTATGACTTGGACTTGTCTCATTTTATCTAAATACCGGTAGTGCTTTGAGATTTCAGTCAACATTTAAAGGCTTCTTAGATCTTGATTTCTGGTGAAGTTCACTAAGAGCCCCAAACAAGCGGAAACATTGCAGCAGCGATCGAGAAGCAGACTCAAGATCCTGATTTCAGTTGGTCAGCTAAATAGAATCCTTTCATAACATCAGAGGGACCTAGGTGTTTATCAAATGTGGTTGGTTGCAACTGCTACCCAGTTGTTTGATAACCAGTCTTTCAATCCACTCACGATATCATGTACTTTTCTTAAAAAAAGCTTCCAACAGCATTTCAGTATTCATTTACAATCCTGAACATAAAGATATCTTCGGTACATGTTTCAAGCGTTAAGGAGATACATTTAACATAGGGGTGCCTGGAAAACCCTCTTGTTTTTGCGGGTGCTCGATATTGATGAGCATGAATATTATGCCGACTGTATTTTGACAACATTGCCTCAGAAACTCGGTTGCAAAGATATAATAATTCATCTTTCACATATTTATTTGAAGGTTTGAACCTAACACTCGATCAAGTCGTGACAAAGTAGTGTTCTGATCCCTTTTTCATAAAGCAACTGAAGATCCCAGATAGTTACTAAGCTTTTGAACTGACCATCTGTCAGTGAGCATCACTTAGGTCCTTCGCACCCTCGGTTGTCAATATCTAATTATGTACCGTAGTAATCGGTTTCATGTCTCACCAAATTATGACATTGATATCTAATATCTAACAGTTGAGACGATTTACCAAATGCATCGTACGCGAGTACAACCTCTAGACTACTGAGTCAATATACGATCATTTACATGTTTGAAATCAATCAATTTATAATATCGCACAGCCATCCCCCCAATGTCATTGTTGGGTAACTGCCTTGCACTTGATATGGTTCGACTCCACTGATCACGGCTTCTCAGAAAATCTCCGAAACTACCTTTCGAAGTTAGTCACTAACAAGCAATTATATATATATATATATATATATATATATATATATATATATCTTGCACATGGTTTTTAACCGTCTAATTGTCTTTCAATCTATGGAATTCCCTGCTTCAGTTAATTATCAGTAATTTGTCATGATTAATTAGCCTCATTAGTGACATGTTTAACCGTTAACATAGTTGAACTTCATCAACCACATTTGACTGAAACTTTTATAGTTTATTTTAAAGCCAACTAGTCACTAATGTGAATGATCAGTTATTAGTATTATTGAGATGAAGTGTTGATTAGGAATGTTCGTCTTAAAATTATTTTTTCAATCAAAAACTGTTAACTTTAAAATAAATATTAGAAATTAGATCAAATAATATTTACTTGATTGCATATTACTGAGTAGTTCCAAGTTAAGTGGGAATAGTTGAATTACTGGTTGGTGAAAACTGGCTTATGTTCTAGAAATGCTTTTTTTCTACTATTCTCAGTCAGTCAGTCAGCTACAACGTAGGACCAGGCACGTATATGCATCGGTCCAGTTTGCCATACCGCATTAGCACAGCAAGATGAACACCGGATTCATAGGAGTGGCTGGGTCAAAGGTGGTAATATATAGGAGAAAGATTGCATATAAGGATACAGTACAGGAAGAAAGAATTAGTTAGTAGAAAGAAAAATATGAAGTGATTTTAATCTCATCGTTTAAGGGAAGACAAAGAGTGCATACACCTACGCCATTGTGATCGATTCTGAGCCATGTCACCAAGAGTCTCCAACCATCGGTTGCGAAAGTCACGCGTACCCCAACCAAGTAGTCTGCATCTACCAACACGGCTCAGACTAGAGGTTAGTGTCTTCAAGCACTGATACCACGTTTTGGTTTGGCCGCCCCTAATTCTCTTACAACCATCTCTAAAACTCGTTAGCTTTGCACGACGTGGTAATCGGTGTTCTGGCATACGTAACACGTGACCCAACCATCTCAGTCTATGAAGATTCACAACCTCTTCAATTAATTTACCATCATTCCCTAATACCCTGCGTCTAACCTCACTATTACTTACCCGGTGATCCCAACAGACTCCAGCAATATTTCTGAGGCATCTGTGGTCAAATACTAGTAGCTTACGGGTGTTTTCTACTCTTAATGGCCATGTTTCGCTGCCGTAAAGTAAAACAGAACGGACTGCCACGCAGTATACTCGTTTTTTTTATTGATAGACGGATATCTCGCCTTCGCCAAAGGTGACGTAAGTTGGCAAAAGCTAAACGAGCTTTTCGAATCCGTGCTGAGATTTCATCCGATACCAACCCATTAGGGCTGATCAGACTTCCAAGACAAGTGAAGTTGTCGACGCGTTCGACTACTTCACTCCCTATCCTTAGTTCAGGTGTTGACGCACTATTCTAGTGTTCATCTGTTTATTACAGGCACATTAGAAGCTCTATATACGTGTATACGTAAGATCGAGGAACACTTTAATTATAGAAATTAATAGAGGTGATGACTTATTGACGAAACTTAAGGAAGGAAAAATATGTTAAGTATGATATAATCACTAATAATAACAATAATAATGAACGAATGGTTGCTCAAGATGAAAGATTAGTTGAAGTCAAACACTATTACATTTGGATGCCGGCGTAGTGTTCTAGAAATCAAGCGTTTGCGTACAAGAGGTAGTGTATGTGCAATGTTGAATAGTCCTATGCTAAGACGAAATGACCGTCCATTGTTTACAGGTTTTCAATGATAGTCTAGCTCAGATCAGTTCGCGGCATAAATGTTTTGTAATTTAGTTAGTTAGTATACATGAAAATTTTTTTCTATGTATTTAACTAAAAAGAGGAGGAGACGTTAGAAAGGGATAGGTGTATAACCCAGTAATTAAATTATATTTGTTAGTTAGGGCGGCTTTAGTCTGTTACAAGCAGTATTAGGAACTTGGAACAAATGCATGTCGGTCCACATTGTCACGCTATATCAGCATAGTGAGATAAAAATAATTTAAAAATATACTGAAGTGTTAGTGACTGTGTCAGTAAAATGATTAAAAGGAGAATATTATTTTAAAAGAGGATGGTTATGTAACTCAGCAAATTAATTTCATTTGTTGATTATAACAGTTGAAACTTATGATATCGCAAATCGTGTTTATACACCAAGTTATTGATTGATCTCTGTCAAATGCTACTGAGTTAAAATAGTGTTTAAATCTAACTATTTATCAGTAAAAAACTGAAACACAAAAATCAGTGTGAGTTCTTGATCTATTTTTGAGGGTATAGTAAACTTTGACCTGTCGTCTTTATATGTTTCTGTTTTGTTCACAAAAGATCCGTCCGTATCGCAAACTACAAACTACAGTCACCTCTCTATTAATCAAAATGATGTGCTTACTAGTGACTAATTTCCAAAAGTAATTCATAGATTTCCGATATCAAGTCATGACCAGTGAAGTTCAATTTTGTCAGTAGGGAAGCAGTAACCCACTAGTGTATCAGATAACGGTTGTTCAGTATCACGAATTTATTGAAGTTAAACATGCCGATTATTGGATTCCAGCTTAGTCATTTAATGGTTAAGAATTCGCATACAAGACATGAATGCGCTTCCAGGTTTTCAACTATTAAATTACTAAAATCTCTACAAAACTTTTCGGATAATCAATATTTATCGAAAATCTCCCTATTCCTATGTAAATTTTATTGATCAAATAACCTACTAGATAAGCGACATCTTTCTTATTTATGTGTAAAGCTTAACTTCAACAAATTATTGTTATATTTTAATCCAATTTTATTTGGATAACTAATTCTTTTTGTAAGAGTTTCATTATCTCGATTTTCAGCATAATTAACTTTGTTGCCTCCCATTGCCCTGGTACGGCTAAGAGTGGGGAGAGTCAGCTCTGCCTCTCACATGGCCGTGTGCATACAACCACTGCCAGTGAGGTCCTACTCACTGACTTCTCGTGGCATTACTGTTGTTTACGGAATTGAGAGGATGTAAAGCGAATGTCCGGCTCTTTAACCAGGTCGGTGGACGTAGAAAGTCCACATAGGGAAGTTCGAAAACCCTGATTTCAAACCAATAGTGTATATGGGTTCCAGGATCGTAAGGAAACAAATGGCGTACGAACCAATTAATGGTCACCGGCTACCATGGGACTGCATCTCCTCAGGTTGCGCCACTGCCTTTTGAGTTAGACATTTAGATCATATGCTTCAGGTGTGTGGCTTCCTAAGAAAACCACGTGGTTCGGTTTGGGCATCCGGGCAGTATCCCAGCCCTCACACAAATTGAATGATTTATGGGATGCATATCTATTTAGTGCTTCCTTGTGTTTAAATTAATTAATTGAAATTCGTTACAAATACTGTTATCAACAAAATAATTCATAGATTCAACTATTTTAGTTATTTCTTTGTTTATATTTTAGGAACCGTCTGCTCTCAGTGGTGAAATTATTGAACGTCAAACTGGTAGTTATCAATTATTAATATCCTTCTAAATTTCTTTTAGATTTTGTGGATAAAGCGATCGATACTATTTTAGGAACATATGCTAACCGACCTAATCCTCCTGAACATATCGTGTTAATAGGTCACTCTGTTGTAAGTTGATTTCATAGACGCACACACGCGCGCGCGAAAAATTGTGTTTTTTGTCTGTCTGTCTGTTTCGTAATCTCAGAATGATGACATTAAAATTTCGTTGTGATTAGCAACAACCAAGATAAATCAATGGTTTATTTAATAATGATTTAAACTATCATATCTGTTGAACAAGTGAATAGATATATCGATTCAATAATTCAGTGGATATTGTGTTGAGGTTTGAAAAGAAACTTACTATGTTTGAGTCTCAGTGTGAATACCAACACTGTGATGTAAGTACATTCAACTGATGAGTTTCAAATGAAATAAAACACGAGCCTCCAAATCCACTGAGATAGTTTAATTTAATATTAATCGATTATCAAGTACATGTTCGTGTGCTGAGTCTCTGTGACGGCTAACGATATTACTTGAGTGTCTAACTTAAAGTAGAGAAGGGTTGGAATACGTTAACTATTCATTAAAACTCAAGCGCATCACGATAAAGTCTAAGCCAACTGTTGTGTTAATAACCTTTTAGAACCATAAATCAAATTGATTGCTGAATCGTTGGTCTGTAGGCTACACCTTCGACTTCAAGTTCTAGGCCTTAAGGTAACGGAACAACACTAAATGTTATTCTACTGTAGATGATGACCAAGGTATAGTTGTACGTCGTTCGTTCCCATAGGATCATAGAAGTACTATTCAGTAATAGTGTGAAATTAAGGTTTACCAACTCCGTCAGCTGAACTTTGCGCTTCCACCATATCGATTTATTCATTTGATGTCTACTTTGGCCTCTTAAATTCTATCGAAATAATCTTTTCACTTGAGTGGAACTTTCCTAGAATAAGCTATTGATACATGATTACAAATGACTTTTGAGAGAAGAAGGTCTGTTTGAGGATTGATATGACATGAATAATTGTCAGCGTCAGTACACTAGAAAATAAATACATTTAGCCGATAAGTAACAAGGTAAACGAAACGAATATTCTGTTGTTGTGCTTTTTTCCTAAAAAAACAATAATGTTATTAGTTTTATTTTCAATTTTATTCATTTAATTACTTTTTATCCTGAAATCCAATATTCACTATCTTTTTCGTCGTTGAAGTATTATGATATAGTCGTTTGGTTTATCCATTCACTCACATTAGGTCCGCTGTTACATTTATTCATAGTATCTCTACGACCCTATTAGCAAAAAAGCCACAACACCTATATTCATTTAAATTGTAGTGACATGAATTACCCCGCTGTTGATATTTTGACTAAAATTTGGTTAGTCTTAGTTGGTATATGTATATCCTGTGTGGATTGCCTTGATGTACCGATTATCACGCATGTTTATTTTAAAAAAAAAAGTAAATGGAATGTGGCTAGTAGTGAAATCTATGACGCGCATTTCATCTTATTTGGGACTAGTTAGCTGTCTGAACACGCATCCGAAAGTTGATATTTTCTCCATGATGGGACTCCTCATCAGTGCACATTCGCTAACCGAACCCACGAATGCTTACCCTCTACATCAATCGGTCAGGATCCAATGAAAATTTTATGATCATATAACTATATTCCCATAATAATCATGTACTCACTAATGACTACCTTCAAAATGGAGCCCATGTGCACCATTGATTTGGAATCAGGGTTTTCCAACCTCCCTAGGTGGACCCTCCGTGTCCACCAACCTGGTTAAGGCGCCGGACATTCGCTTTTCGTCCTCCCAATTTCGTAAACAACAGCAATGCCACGAGAAGTCAGTGAGTAGGGCTTTCCTGTCAGTGGTTGCATGCACGTTTTCATAAGAGAGCATTTGGAGAGGGAGAGCTGACTCTCTCCACTCTCGGCTGTACCAGGGCATTCGGGGGCTGATGTTCAATGAACCAAACCAGAAATTTGTATCAATAACAGTTTACAGAAAAGAAAACATAATTTCATTGATTTATATTCAGTATATATAGTAGTTCAGAAATACTGATCATAGTATTCTATACAAGTGAATTAATCTTAAAACTACTCATCAACAAAGACTTGAAGTTTTGGATATATGTATGCTATTGATATCATTAATGAAATTTTTTTTATTTAGAGTTGAACTGGTTACCCTTTTGTTACCTGTTTCATTAGAGAAATGACTTTTCTTAAATTTTCAATGTCTTAGTTATGATTGAATTTTTTTCTTAAACTAGTCAATCTCTTAACATTGTCAACTTGTTAATTTTATGTATGATCATTATGTTTGCGGCTACAGTGAGGAGGGGATAGATAAATTCACCCTTTATCGTTTTCAATATCTATTCTTGATATACGTTTTCAATCTGTCTTTTCCCACTATATTTTCAACGTGTAATCTTTCTCACTATCAGTGCTATAATAGTGATTTCAATTTCTTTTGTGATTCATTTTCTTGAATTTATTTGGTCTTACCAATATGTTCTGATAACTTGAACTACAGCATGTTTATGCTAAGGTCTACGTTAATAATAACCATCAATATGGAGGGTTGTAGAAATTGTTGAATTCTATTGAAATCACAAATCGATCTAAGATAGACAATCATTGAAAATCAGGAAGCATTATTCTAGTATGAGGTGTTTTTAGGAGTGCTCATCCACTATCCCAACACGAGGAACCGAACCTAGAACCTTCGGTTTCTCAGATGAACACTTAACTTCTAAACCATTGAGCTGGCATCATTTGGTTTACATGTCTAATCTCAATCAATTCACAATATTGCACAACCATTTTCCATTACTAACGGGGTATAATTGTCAATGTATTATTTGTACCAATTGATTCCCCTTGTTCTCTTATTACAATGAAGAGTCCCATACTAGGACGAATAAACCATCCAGTGCTTCCAGGTTTTCCATGATGGTCTAGCTTCCATGGACTCTTATTACAATCAGTTTATGTTTTGTTATCCTGTTCTCATCTACCTTTATCACTCATTTTACTATTGTTTTTTTTTCAATAGGGTTCTGTAGTAATTTTCAACTTCTTGTCATCACGTTGGAGTATAACTCAAACTAAAGTTAAATTAGTTTTATCCTTGGCTGGTCCAATTTATCAACCAGGTTAGAATAGTTTGATAATTGATAGTTAAAGTTTCATAAAATATCATTATATATATATATATATATATATATAGAGAGAGAGAGAGAGAGAGAGAGAGGCATAGATACAGGAAACGATGGGTTATTGGGAAACATTTAACCTTGACTAAGAAGAGAATCACTATGTAGGTGGCTATACATTACATTAGACTTAATTTTATATTAAATAAAGTCAATATATGCTTTACAAGTTCTTTTAGTTATCACCATTTTGCATATATTGACTTAATTAAAGTATCATTGTTTGTTTTTATCTTAATTACTCATTTGTTATCCGATAAGTTTTATAGTTATTTAGTTGTTATCAATGTAGATCCTAGCAACAAATGTCCTTTGACCTTATTTACTATATAACATTTGAACTACAAAATGGAATTAACAAACTAAGTATCAAAGACGACAAAATAACAATGATAATCATAAAGAATTAACAATAAAAATGTGATTTGAGAACTAATGAAAAAGTTTTTTTATGAAGGAATACTGAGACGTAAGATGCATTTATGTCACTGTGATCGATTCTAAGACATGTTACCTATCTTGTCCAACCATTGATTTCATTTGTCACACGAATACTAACCATATAGTTTAACAAGCTATGATATCTTGGATGAATAAATTCGCATACACAGAATAGTAGCAATTCCATAAAACATATATTCAGTCGGCTGCGCAATTGTCTCGTCACAACAACATAGGTTTTGTTAGCAGAGATGGATGATGGTTAGCAATGAACTCCAGAACGCACATTTCGTCCTACTTGGGACTCATTAGTGTAATGTACCTATACCCGAGAGGACTCGAACAAAGCACCGTTGTCTTTAAGCGTCATCGCGTTATTTATTTAGCTACTGAGTTCAAATAACCAGTGATTTATGCATTGGGGCGAAGCTTAATTCATTTGTATTGGTTTTTTCGAATTTTGCTTATGATATAAGGCAATATCGAGGTAATTCGCACTGTAGGCACATATACCATAAAAAGACTGATCTGTTGCAGTACTAAACATCAACGGGAAGTTCAAAACAACCAATTTAAATGAAGTATTGGTTTTAGTTTTACGATAGTTCTATCCAAAAAATCCTCAGTTTTCCATTTTGTTTTGTGGTAAAAGGTATCGGAGGAAAAGTTAAAAAAAATACTTAGTTACCAATGATATTTTATAAGAGTAAACATAATTATCGACGTTTGAGAGGTTATCGTAGAATTTATAACTTTATAAATTATTGAGTGATTTCAACTTGCACCGTTACCAAACCACAATGAAAACCTGGAAGCGCTGGACGGCCGTTTCGTCCTAGTATGTGACTCTTCAGCAGTGTGCGTCTAAGATCCCGCCTCGTGAGATTCGAACCTGGGACCTATCACTCTGTCGTGAGATAGTGACTCACCGATGACAATGGTGGACGGTGGCGCAACTTCTTGGATTGGTTGAAGTTAGACATTAACACTGATGGATGCCGGCTCACTGGTCTAGAGGTTAAGCGTTCGCGCGCGAGACTGACAGATCCTGGGTTAGAATCACGCGAGGCGGGATCGTGGATTCGCACTGCTGAGGAGTCACATATTAGGTCGGAATGGCCTTCCAATGCTTCCAGGTTTTCCATGGTGGTTTAGCTTCAATTGGCTCATGATTTCAACTATTAAGATTAAAAGTTGCGCTTAACGAATTGAGTGTTATTCCTATATTTTTTCTATATGTATTTCAAATTTTATCAAATTGTTTACGCAACTTGTCAAAATTCTCTTTTATATTCTAAATGTTTATACTTTTTTCCATTGAATATCAAATATTGGTAAGTCATGATCAAGGTAGAATATGGTACAAATATGTTTTGGCTTAAAGTACCATATCACATGATCACGATGAGATCAAATCAGTAAGATGTATAGGAAAGGACTTAGTAATAATCAAGAAGATTGAATATTGAGAATTTACTTTGAAAAGATATATGTCATTGTATCCTACTCTAAATCATATCATCCAGCTTGTTCAACCACTAATCATAGTTATTTAATAACCTACTACAATCTAGTAGTTTGAATCTATTAGAATAGTCAATCAATTTGTGATTGATTACATATTTCAGTTTAATTGCTTTTTAGCTGATCAAACGAATTCAGTTCTTTTAGATTATATCTTTATAAAAATGTGTTATAGGTTAATTTAGTCTTATTATTTATTTAATTATTGGAACATATAGATATTGGTGCAAAGAGTCGCCAAATAGATGTGCGCTCACAAGTCACTTGACTTGTGTGTGGTTTGTGATACTGCCCGGGTGCCTAAACCGAACCACGTGGTTTTCTCAGGGGGGAACACCCAGAGCCTTGGACCTAAAGGTCTAATCCATAAGGCAGTGGAGCAACGTTGGGCGATGCATTCCCTTGGTAGCCGGTGACCATTAATTGGTTCATACGCCATTTGTTCCTTCAGGATACTGGAGTCCATGTGCACCATTTGTTTGGAATGAAGGTTTTCCAACTATCATAAGTGAACCCCCGTGTCTTAACTTTCATGATAGATTGTTTTAGTATTATCCCAATATACAACTTTTCGAGAGATGACTAAAACTAATTCTTTTTGTCATTTTTTCACAAAAGGTGTAACTATTGGTATACAAATTGTATTATTTTCTTTTGTTTCTAGTTAATTCTAAAACATTTTGAACTATATTCACTTGGTGTTGTTTTACTTGTATCTCCCCATTGTTATTTAGGACTGCAATTGGTTAGTCTCATGTTGGCATATGTGCATCCTATGCGGATTGCCTCGATATGACCTTAAGTCACAAGCTTTTTAAGCAAAGATGGATAGTGGCTAGCATTGGAATCCAGGACGCGCGTTTCACCCTATTTGAGACTCTTTATCAGCTGGATGTATCTGCATCTCAGAGTTGATGTGAATTTAAACTTTACCCTATTGTACAAGCAGGTGGCTATCGCGACTCAGTAGCTAAGTGGGTAACGCGATGGCGTTTGGAGCGAACGGTACTAGGTCCGAGACCCGGGATGGACGTCAACTCTGCGATGCAGGTACATCCAGCTGACGATTCCTAAATAGGGTGAGATGCACATTCTGGATCCCAGTGCTAGACACTACTCATCTTTGCTTAAAAAGCATTTTGAACTACTTTTAAATTATTTTTAGTATTAATTTACATAAAATTCATTATTCTTATGAATTCTTGATTATTCTCTCATTTATATAAGCTGTCGAGATGTTTTTTTCAGGGTTAGATAAGAAGTAGGTTTTCCTGTTTAGGGCGGCCTGCTTGAGCATCTGGTCTACCTGTTCCTGTCATCTAGATATTTCAACAAGTTATCCATTTTTGTTTGTTTTAATATATCATTATGTTTATTAATCGCATAACCTATTCTGCTGCGTTTCTGAAAAGTGTACAACCTTTAGTTGTCAAAGTTACAAAAAACTCAATCATAGACAATGTGATTGCTGGAAATATACAACGAAAAGAATGCACATTATTCGGATGTTCATTTACTGAACTACTAACATCTAGCTGGCGATCACTCGATATTTATCGCCAGGACCGACAAAGAAGAAAGAATCGGAAACTTGTTGAAATACTTTACGCTGAGAATTCTATATTGTACCAAAAATATAATATTGAATAAAGCTGATAATAATAATAATAATAATAATAGTAATAATTAATAATAATAATAATAATAATAGTAATAATGTACTCAAGTTACTTCATCGCGGAATGTTAGAGCAGAAGTAAGCCGATGAGAAATTGATTTTATCTCGCTATGTAGAAGTGTTGTAGCAATTTGGATCGATGAATATAATTGGTGAGGTCATCTCTTTGGTATTGTCCGATTAAGTTGTTGAAACTTTTTGGGATCCAATCCATGTGATTATGTTGTCTTTTTTCGTATTCAGTCATGATCTGTTAAGTTGAGGGAAAATGGGCAGTAGTATTGAGTTATAGAGAATAAGATCAATTTCGAGTACTAGACAATCATGATATCGACAACTTCTAGGTGACCAGTTAATGTCAATGCCCTAATAGCTCCGTGACATTGTATTAGACCATAAAGCTGGGTAACATCGATTTTAATTTAACTGAGTTTTAATTTCCTGAATGTTGTAGGTAAACCTTTCTGACAAGTATATACTGGTATGAAACTTTAAATCTAGGTCTCCTACCAACTACCTGAAATATAATCTGATAGTATATTCTTCGTAGCGATTTTCAAATTGATTAAAAGTAGTTGAGCAATATTGTAATTCATAACTTTATTCTTATGATAGTAAAACTGATGAGACGATGGTCTATGACTGACCTTTCAGCGATGCCAAAGTGACCTTGGGAAAATCCACCCCCTGGATCTAAAGCACGTTATAAATTAATGTGAGAAATCAGAATTGGGATTCAGAGTATGAAGTGAGGTTTAGGAATTGAAGTTAGGTTTCTTATCGCGAACTAACGTCAGCTGTAATGGTAAAACCATATTTAGCCGTATGGATGAATAAATTTCGTATCGAAATCCAAGACTCGCTATCTTAAATGCAATTATTTCTTCCATAAATTCTAGTCTCGCCCTAAAGCTTAGTCACTATTGGTAAAATGTGGTTATCTTATAGTATATTGATCATTGGTTGACCTTTATAAGTTGAATAAAGAAAATAAAATAACTTAATAGTTAATTTATTCATATTATTATTCATATTGTTTGTTTGTACTCCGGTACCTGGTTTAATCATTAATGGCTTATGGAGCGGAGTTGGCAGGAGATCTAATAATGACTCTCTCTTGAGACTGATCCGGCATCTACATTATAAATCCAATACATTTCTCAAGTTGACTTAATAATGAACAATATACTTGGACGGTTTGATGAGGTGATATTATTGAGAGTTAGATCCCTTGGTATTATGGTCTATGTCCCTGTCAAAGACCACGTAACTAAATCACCAATTAGAACACCGCCTTATATTATCTTGGTCCTGTGTAAACTAATGATACATCAACCAGCACGAACAGCCCAGAGTCAACTCTGAGTCCTTAGTGGTTCTACTTGCCCTGCCCTGCCCATTGAGTCCAGAAAACAATCTTAAACTTCACTGTATGAATCGTATATTTCAGGCATATGTGGTTCATATAGAAGCAGATCAGACCCCGTCACACTATAAAATGAAAAATAATAATTATACAAGATCAAACCAAACGTGGCTGTGAGTGTGCGAGACTGTAACTAATGAATTGGAAGTTAAGAATGTTAAATCGTATCTACATAGCCAATAAGTCAAATGAGAGGTATATATATACATAATCTCGCTATTTAATAACTATCCAGTAAGAATATATGTCATAATAAGTGATAAATAATTCCTAGAAGTCACCATTCATTTATTATTCGTTCGGCTATAACAGTGTGCTACTTTCGGGGCCGACATTTTGTAACCTGTTGTCGGGAGTGCAGCATCTCTGCAACTGCTGAAAGTCTGATGAAAATGGCTTGGTGCAGTCATAACCTTATACATTTAACAGTACGTTTTCGTTTTGTGGACCTAAGTTAATATTTTCGGTTTGACTGTTCTCCAACCTATGTGGCTGTCATGGTTGAACCTATGGAAATAAGTGTTCCAGCTAATATACAGATGCGACATTTATATCAAGGTGAGAGTTACAGTCAAACTATCACCGATACTTTTTCTACTTTTGCTACTCTGATTGTTTTAAAAAATTATATACTGGGCATTATCCAAGTCTTCAAATGTGAATAATTGGATGAATTCACCGGGCATCCCTATCTTATTCTCATCTATATGATATAAATATATAAATCTGTTGTTGATACTTGTAAGAAGTGTATCACTTTTAGGAAATTTTTTGTCATAAACTCGAAAATGGTATCATTGTTGTTGTTGTAGTTAAATTGACCAGTACCGAAATGCGCAAAATTTTAGTTAGTTGGCATTAACTATCACAGTACTATGTATAAGTCAAGTCACTACTTAATGCTGAGGTGTTAGACTTACTAGGTTACTAGGTAAAAATGTCTAATAAATTGATGAGATAGTGACTGTTCATCGATTGAGGTTTCTGGGACATATCTCACTTATGTCTAATCACCGTCTACCTCGACGCATGATGTTTACTGAGGTAGGAGTCATCTGAAAGAGAGGTAAAGATGGTAAAACATAGACTTAGCATCAGTTCATCGAGTCATTCATAGTTAAACAGATGTTTTGTTATGTAAACACTACGTGATTGGTGTCTTCAGGTTTAACATGGCCAATTGTTAAAGAAGCTGGATGTTATAGGTTAAAATTGGTCAAGACTAAGTAGTAGATGTATTCACTTTTTGTTTTTCAGCAAATTTTGATTCTTAAAATTATTTTACACTTTTCTATTCCATGAGTTAATTTTTGCTTATCGAATCATCTTATAATTTTTCTTAGTGCGACTAACACTATTACTACTTGTATTACACTTCTGTTTGTCTTCCTAATTTGATCTGACTGTGTTAATACATGATGTGGCGACTTGCAACAATGAAAATAGAATGAATAATACCATTCTATCTAGTTATTTATATTACTAGCTATGATTGACTGTCACTATGTATTATCCATTTATGGTTACTTCATACGTTATCAGTAGTTTCATTTTAACTGTTAGAATTAAGTCATTTGTATTGGTTGTTCTAATCGTTCCATTGATATTATGAACTGCAGTTGATCAGTCTATCTTGGTATTATGTACATGATTTGCTGATTACCTTGATATTGCCATTAGATTACATCAACCTATCAGTGGTGTTAGTTAGTGGCTAGCAGTGGAATCTTGGACCAGAGTTTCGTCCTACTTGGTATTTGTCAACTCAATGTACTCCAATGCTGATATCAGGGTTCGATTCCTGGTGTAATTGTCAACAATGAACTACTGGTAGATTCAGCTGAAGAGTCCCATACAAGACATGTTTGCTAAACTTCACTTCTAGTCTCTATTCAACTCTGCTTATGAAATGTTAGGGTTAGGATTTAGGATAGCCCTAACAGTTGTAATCAGTTATTTTTTAAACTACTAGTGTTTTTTCGTTTTTCTTATCTATACACTTTAGTTATTTTGCCAGACCGTTCAATGGCGCAAATTTATCAACGTATACACAATTATTTGGATGAGATTTCAAATATTCCCAATTATCCTTTAGTAATTATATCAATTACAGGTGGTTCTCGAGATCGAATTGTAAGCATTCACTCTTTATATTAATTAACAATTACTGTCTGTATATGTTTTCAACATTTAAGTTTTTGAATTCTTTAACAAAAACCTGTTTCAACACTATATGTAAGTCTGTGGTGTATGCTACTAATGTTAACAGACATAAGTAATATGTAACATCAATCAAAAGTTGAACTCCTAAAAGAAGAAGGTCGAATTGAAGAAAATAGAAAGGAATTATGAATTGTAAGAATCAAACAGAATGTAAAAGAGAATTGATAGAAAATTTACAAATGAAGCATTTAGTGTGTATGGTTCTTATATTTTACGAAGATAGTCTGTAATTTTGTATGATATAATAAATTGGTATTCTTCCTTTTAGTCTCGTTCACCACAAGTCTACATAGTCGTTAATTCGAAGTCATCAATTGACATAAAATTACAAATTTTCTTTATAAAATTCCATTAGAATTTGCTAACTGTTCTTTCACTATGTCAGTCAGTTATTTAGTTATGATCAAAGTATCATCTGGCACACATATATAGACATCGGTCCAAATTAATAAATTAATGAGGTACGGCAACTTGGACCAATGCATATGTGCCTAGTCCTACATTCTATTGTGATTTCATAAAATACGTTTGAAGTCGATGATTGGAAATCCTTTTGAAAGGTGGTTTATATTTAATAGCGAAAATAGTATTAACTTAAAACATGAGTTACAGACTTTACATTTGGAATGTTGGAAGCTTTTTTAGTGAGACTATAATTTATGGACAAATCAATCAGATTTAAGATAACAGGTCTTGAATTCTAACTCAAAATTCATTCATCCATTTGGCTAAATAGCGTTTTGGAATTATAGATGATGTCAGTTCATGTTGAAAAACGATAAATCTAATTCCTTACCTTAACCATCATTTGAAAATTCTAATTCTTCACATTAATTTATAACCCTCAATTAATCCTAGTTATTAGGTGACCACTCTCAAGGTCACCTTAGCGTCGCACAAAGGTCGTCCATAAATTATAGTCCCACCTCTTTTTTTTATTGAGCAAGTTAATTTCGACTCGGGTAGTTATTCGTAATCAAGATGAAGTTGGACATGAATGTTCGTTGATTCAAGTTGCCAATACCAACAAGGTGAACAATAACGGAATCGAAACAATTGTTACATCAATGATAAGAAGACAAACTAAACATCAAGAGTATGATTCAACAGGATGGAATCAATAGATAATTTTGAGGAAAAACTGAAACTAAAGATCTTCGTTAAGATTAAACAGTGAATGCAGCTCTTCTACTTTAACTGATTCTGAGCCATTTCGTCTAAATTGTCAACCATTAATCTCAGTTTGGAGATTGTTTACTGGAAAGAGAACGTAATTCTGAACAAATAAATCTTGATTAGAATGTAAAACACTGAATGCCGAAACTTTATATAATTTGTTCATGATAATTCCATATAAAAATGTTGTTATTTACTAATGAAAGTCTTAAACTAGATTTCTTTGCTACGTCTGTTTTGAATAGATCAATAATTTTCTCAGGCTCGTTGGTGAGCGTAGACATCATTAAGTAGAAAATTTATATCATTATGAGGTTGTAAAGGTTGCTGAATTTAATTGAAATCACAAACCAGTCTATGTTGGAAAAGCATGGAAAATCTGGACGGCCGTTTCGTTCTAGTACAGGGCTCTTTAGATGTGTGCATCCATTGCCCTGTGTCCGGAAATCAAACTCAAGAACTTCGGTCTCACGTGCAAACGCTTAATTTCTAGACCACTGTGATGGAATACAGTGATTTACATATTAGTTAATTTAATATCGTGACTAGCTTCAAGATTCAACTTCTAGAGTTCTAGTGAGAATGTGCTACCAGTGGAGTTCAACCATGTCGAGTGTGAGGAAGTTTTCCATCGAAGACAATGGAAAACGGTCGTACAATACCGTGGATTTATTGAATTTAGTCTTTAACACCACTGTTTCTCAGCTCAATGGTCTAGGCGTTAAGCGTTCACATGCGAGTCTGAAGTTCCTGAGTTTCATTCGGGTCATGAATGCGCACTGATGAGGAGTCCTATAATAGAACGACATGACTGTTCATTGCTTTCTGGTTCTTAATGGTTAATTTTGTCTATCTTCTATAGAATTCAGTGATATATGCATATTTAGTACATGTGGAATAGTATGAATAAAAATGTACGGTTAACGAATAAATTTAATTAAATAGAACCGATAGAATTTGTTAAATACTGAATGACTAAACCAACATACAATTGGTCATTACTCAATGATCTATTCATGCTAGCTAACTAAAATAGGTACACTAAATAAATTGTATGCTATTTTTGTGAAGGCCCGTAGATCTGACTCCCTTTAGATCGTATAAATGATTGCTATCGCCTTTTCTCGTATATCATCGTCAACTTAAATCACGTTAGTCAATAACGGAATTAAATAAGTCGAATAACGAGAATTGACTTGTGAATACATATATTTTGTATATGAGGTGAATGGAACAGAGCAAAACAAAATGACACACAGAGAAGATGGCTGGGAAGCCAACTCATTTTTAGTCAGGCGTTAATCAATATTTATAGGCAGACAAAATAAGCTACAGACATGGGATAAGAAGTGTACACACATTATACGCTCATATAAAAACAATGAAGACTGGTAAGTGAATAACTAACAAGGTCAACATATGACTCAAGTAGAATGAATAGATGGGCCTATCCGAAATCCAGAATAAGATATATGGGCTTAAAATAATAACTGACACTACACTATATACTTGAAATATTGAATTGTTTACTAAATTTTAAACTATTCTACTTTACCACTTGAACGATGAATGTAATCAAGTAATCAAAACTATATATTTTTTCTCAAGCTTTACTTTCAGAGTTAATTAACAAACTGAAAATTAAGGTAATTATGATGGTAAATGACTTAATGTGTTCTATCAGTTTCTGGTATAATTTCAAAAGTATTCTTTGATAGATATTTTCTAACAGTGTTAAGATCTTCATATGCTTATTTATATACTTGAATTTTACCATTGATGTTTTGAGAACTGTAATTGATCAGTTTCTTATTGCCATATGTGCATACTGTGTGGATTGTCTTGATATCTCCTGAAGTCATAAGCTTTATAAACAAAGATGAATATTGGCTAACAGCGGGATCAAGGACGCGCGTTTCGTCATCTGGATGTACCTTGATTTCAGAGATGATGTTTACTCTGGGAGTCGAACCCAGTATCTTTCGCTTCAATATGCACATATGCCAATAAGTGACTGATCCATTGCAATCCTAAACATCAATGGAAAGATTCAAGTAAAACAACACCAGGTGAATTTAAAATTCACCCCATTGCACAAGCAAAAGTGGCTATCAGGACTCAGTATATAAGTGGATAATGTGATAGTGTTTGAAGCGAACGGTACTGGGTTCGAGCCCGGGAGTAGACATTATCCAGCTGACGATTCCCGAATAGGAGGAAACGCGGATTCTGTATTCCACTGCCATCCACTATCCATCTTTGTTTATAGTCTTAAGAACCATTGCAAATTTTACATCATACTATATACTGTCTATATTTTAGTAAGAATTTATCAAAATGATTTTCATAAAATTTTAGATGAAGTTAAATTAGGAAAGATGAAACTGTTTTATGTTACGTAAATTACTATTATTTAATTATACACCTACTACTGAGTTTAAGATCAATTATGACTTCATTATGAATATACTGTGATTTATTGTAGTCCTATCACTGAAGGATGTAATCTTGTACGTTTTTAAGTCATAGAACAATACAATAAATAGAAAGTCTTCTATCTTCCTGTACCTTTTGACCTTTGGGGAGATAAAGTGCTAGGTGAACCAATAGGGGTTGATATCTCTTCTTGTCTTTATCAGTCTTTTGTGTTATTGTTTAATCTAAAGGTCATTCGTCTGGTTAGCATAAACTAACTCTTTATTTAATAAACTATAATCCGTAACATACAACTTTCGATAGGTCTATATGTAACCTGAAGATTCTTTGTATTTTGCGGCGTCTTCGATGTGGTTTATACAGGAGAATCTGAAAGAGAAAAGGTGACTCAACGACTCAGTAAGCACATAGAGTACACTTTCTTACGATAATGCAGGAAATCGACAATAATCAGTAATAATTAGAGAATAAAATATAAACTATCCGATAATAGAAAGAAGAAATTGATAGCCTATGATTTCAAATGTGTTACGAATCGAATAATCATATTTAGTTGGTATCGTATTCAGTTTTAATTTGTCAATAAAAATGTATGCATTCCATCTACAAATATACTGTAATTTTTTTATTTTTGTAGGTTCCTGATTTACTTGGAAATATTGATCAAGCTTATCCTGTTTTAAATTCACTCAGTTTATCCACATCTGCAATTCAACATGTTTGGGCATCTTGTGATCATCGGTGTATTCTTTGGTAAGTTATATAAAATTTTAATTTTCCAGCTAATTTGACTAAGGTGTAATTGACAGATTTATTGAATACATGTTTTGTGAACTTAACTTTGAAACATACTTTTTGATGCTAACATTAGTGGAATTAGTATGTTTAGTGGGATTCGAACATTCAACCGAGTGAATGTTAAGGAATTGGATACTTTGATCACCACTTCACAGATTTCCTCACTCACTCACACCACTTGTGGAGTCGGTGGTATATCTGTCTGCCAAATAAAAGATGAGTTTACTGTGCAACAGATCGTTTCGTTCTATTTAATGGCAAAGAAACGTGTTTAAAATTAAAGGATATTCGTAGGTTACTAGTATTTGATCGTAGGTGTCTTCAAAACATCGCTCGTGTATCTTGGCGCCACCGAGTTAGCAATTCTGAGGTTAGAAGAAACTCAAAGGCGAGCAAAGGCGAATACAGCTACAGTCAATGAAGACATTGACCGTGGAACTGGGTCATGTACATAAGTACATATTATCTGATTTTGATTGAGTTTTGTTCTCTGAGTTGGATGGTTTGTTTGTAGAGCTTTCATCGTTATTCTGAACGACATCATCAGCACAAACTTTGGATATGAGCGGAGTGTTCGAATTTTTCTACATATGACTCACAGCTTGTCCTGTAGACCTCAATATTAATTGGTTATTGTTGACCTTTAACCTGTCATTGTCTACTTTATTTTTGTTGTATCTCCCATTGATTTGTTTTTTGGTCCTATATTTGCCCATAATTTTTCTGATTGGTTGATAAATTGGATCGATTTCAATGTGTTTGTTGATTGCTGACTGACCTTTTAACAACCTGTAAATCCCAGTTTCGAACCCCACTCCACCGGATGTGATCTAGACAGCCCGGTAGTATCTTTACCCCTCATATCTAGATTGTGGCTCAAACGGAAACACCTGGTTACCGAGTCAATTTATCTATATTTATTTATATATCCTTTTGCCAATGAGTAGTAAATTCAGATGAGCGAATATTTGGTGTAGAGACCTAGTTGAAATGACTTTTTCAGCAAATATATCGGAGAGTTTTTCAAGCATGCTGTCTCCTCTAAACTAGATAGTTTAATCGTAAAGCTTTCATTGCCTCTCTAGGCAACAACAAAATTAAAAAATACTCCTAAAGTAAGAGTGGGTTATTGGCATTTCCCCACTACAACTAAATAATAGCCTGTTATCCTGGAATATGAGTTTTTCTCGTAAATTGTATGGCTATTGTTTGCATATGTGCACATTTTTCTCCATTATCTCTATATTAAAGCGAACTTTTACAAATCCTATATATTTGATACTATGATATGATTGCCATAGGGGTTTGTGCAAACCACTCACTTTCAAAGTTTACATCACAGACTGATATAGGTTGGACAGTTATTGAGAACCAAGATGTGCTAGACAGCCGTTTCCTTCTAGCAGTGTACATCCACATCACCGAGCATCAAAACCAGTACTTTCAGGTCTTGCAGAAAACGCTTATCCTCTAGACTACTCGGTCGGCATACAGTGGTTTTCATGTTTAACTTCAATCAATTCACTATGTTAAAGAGTTGTATGCTAGTACGCAGTAGTTATCCATTGCTTTCTAGTTTTCAATGAACTGAAATTAGTCCATGATGTAGTTATCGACTATTTTTCATATTTATTTCTTTATTTTACTTCTCTTTATGTGATTAATCATTTCCCTGTTTGACTCTGTCTATCTCTCTATTTATTATAAAAGGGGAAAGAAAAACAAAACATTGAAACAATCCCTTATTCTTTCATATATAATTTTGTCATAGTTAGCATTCCATAATGTATTTTTGTTCTTCATTATGATAGGTGTTTACAATTGATGTTGGTATTGAACAAAGGTTTACTTGTACACAATTCAGTGAGTTGTCTGTTTTTCTCGTTATTTCTTTCTTCCTCTCTCTCTCTCTATCCCGCTCGTTGTTTTTTTCCTCCTTTTATGGATTGTTTTTAGGTTAAACTTGTCCACAAGGTTTGTTTTGTTATTGTTGTGTTATACATGTGTGTATACATTTTTATGGATAGAGTATATTGTTATAAGTAACGATATAATCGAAAAATGTGAATTCTCTACTATTTGAAACTTACCTACCGATGAATGTACTTGATCCTATTTTTTCAAGAATTGATATTCGTACTGCGAGTTGAATGTAGTATCTTTAAACGCCAACGCATTATTCATTAAGTTATTAGTCAGTCAGTCAGTTACAACGTAGGACCAGGCACATATGTGCATCGGTCCAGGTTGCCATACCGCATCAGCATCATCATTAAGTTATTAAGCCTCAAGAAGTTATTAAGTTTATGCATTTTAAAACTAATAGAAACACAATTGTATGAACAAAGAATATTATTTTCAATAATTTCTCATCATGTATACTACAATTATTATATCCAAATTAATCATTCATAACATTGACCAGATTCAAGGCAGAGTACATCATTTGGAAATTGTAATATGTGAATTGAGAATTATTGTTTGTCATAGATAAAATCAATTCAGATCGTTAATGTTGGGGCTGACTAATATGAAGTGGTTAACTTGAATCAGTTTATAAGCGAAATGAAATTGTGCGATAAGTGATGAGCTCGAATGTACAAATTCCTAGAATATCTGCCAATATAACTTGCTCTACAGGAGCAGTTGGATTGATAGATACAGAAAGAGGTGGCTAGTCTAAGTAATTTATCTTTCAATCTCGGAGTGATTATTGGTCGTGTGGAGAATACTAGTTGTAGTTTACCCGCATTAAAAGTCCTTTGAATTGATCTGTTTAACTTAAGTCTTAGCATTTCACTCGGTGCATCGCCTCTGAATTGTAAGCGTATATACAGAGGCTTTTTATTTACAGTTGGGCATTCTCTATGGTGTCTTTTATTGGCTATGTTTTTATTTATAAATTTCTCGGGATATTCATTTTCTTTCAGGGTTATGTATAATGACTTTGTCTCATCTTCGGTATCGTGGATGCGCACTGCTGAGGAGTTGCACGATAGGACGAAACGGCCGTCCAGTCCTTCCAGGTTTTCCATATATATATATAAGTTTTTAATTAGCTATAGTACACAATGAGATTTACTAAAATATACATACTTGTATATATAAAATAAACAATAGAAGTCATGTGTAACACACTAGCTACTTATTTAATATACTAAATGGTAACATGTTTACATAAAGATATGAAAGCTATTGGATTTGATTTGTTTTGTCTTGGTTATGTTGGTACCCATTTCTCATGAAGAGTACTAAATTAGGCTGAGACAGTTATTAAGTTTATGTTGATCTTTATTGGTTCTAAAGATCCTTAGTTCTATTCCGAGATCATGAGCGTACGCATTGTTAATAAATCCCACATCAGATCAAAATAGCTATCCAGTACTTCTTCATTTGCAAATAATATCTGTTCTGTCCTGTACAACTGGCAATTGAGCAATCTCTAAAAACTTTCTATTTCATGGACACCAATGAAAATTCGCCCTAACAAAACTACTGTTAACAATGGTAACTGTTGACTTTTTAAAGTAAGAAAAAGTAAATGTTTCAATTTTATAATTGAATGTTCATTCTCTTTTCTTCAGTTTTCTTCAGATCCTATCAGTCGTTTGAATGTATTTCGTAATCTACTTATTACAAGACCTTTGTTATCTTATACTATTCATTATGATCATGATAATTATCAAGAATCCAACTTCAAATTGTTACAAACAATTTCATCAGATATGTTTTGGATTGATAAAACAAATCAACTGAATTCTATCATGAATTTTTATGTGGTAAGTATGTGTTTTGTACTTCATATGTTTTACATCAAACTAGAAATTGAATTAAGAAATTGGAAAGTATGTAATATTATCAGTATAGAGTTGTGGAGATTATTAATTTTCTTGTTGACATCATGCACCGATTAATGTTAGACCACCATTGTAAACCTGGAACTACTGGACGGCCGTTTCGTCTTAGTATGAGATTCATCAGCAACGCGCATCCATGATTCTGCACTCGGGATTCAGTGGGTAACTGTCTCACATCCGACACAGTTGAAGATGGTTGTGCAATTTGATGGATTGGTTGAGGTTAGACATTAACACTGTTGAATGCCGGCTCATTGGTCTAGAGGTTAAGCGTTTGAAGCGAACGGTACTAGGTTCGAGTTCCAGAGTGAACATCAACTCTAAGATGCAGGTACATCCAGCTGATGAAGAGTCTCAAATAGGGCGAAACGCACGTCCTGGATTCCAATATTAGCCACTATCCATCTTTGCTTATAATGCTTGTGAATTAAGGCAATTTTGTGACAAGCCACACATTATGCACATATGCCAATAGGAGACTGATCAATTGTAGTCCTAAACAACGATAAAAGTAAAACAATACCAAGTGAATTTAACGTAATCTATTGTTCATTAAATCCATCTTTACATTCATAGTTGTATGTAGCTATTAGCTAACTACTGTACATGTCATCAAAATAAATATTAAGGGTTTAATTCTATACAATACATTTTACTATTTTCTTTTCTTTATACATTACATACATGATCAATAAGGCATGGGAATCATTCTCAAAACAGTCGGTTAAACTATTGGTGTTCAGACAAAAGTTCATAAGTAGTATTTATGACTCATTTAACTATGCGAATGAAATAAAACAGAGTATAACATATTAAGGTCAATGAATAATGGATAAGACACTTTTTATTACATTTTTAGTTAACTGACTATTAGTTTCTCAATATAGGCTGACTAGCTTCAAGATGGAACTACTGATATCTTAGTGAGAAGGCGCAAGCATTCTAGTTCATTCATGTCAGATGTGAGACAGTTACCTACGACAGGTAATGGATAATGGTCGCGCATTATCGTGAACCGAGTGAAGTTAGACATTAACAATGTTGGATCTCAGGTCAGTGGTCTAGGGCTTAAGAGTTCACACTTGAGACTGAATGTCTGACCACATGTGACAGAGTCGTGGATAGACGAAGCTTCTGTTCCGTGCTTTTAGGTACTCAATATTCGTCTAGCTAAGATAAATTCGTAATATAATAACAATTTTTTCTATTGGTTAAAGTTTACAAACATCATTACTTTGGAATAAATTGAAAACAACAACAACAACAACAACAAAATGTTTACAGAATAATTTACTAACTACTGAAAATACATTAGTCTTATCTACCGATACAACCAATTCTGGACTCGTTCATCTTTTTTTTTCTTACCATAATGAAATAGGTAGATGACTTCTAGAAATGTTTAACTTTATTGCTATAGAAATACGTATTCGTGTTTTTATCGTGAAAAAAAAAACATTGTGAACTTACTAACGGTTACCCTAGTTACTGAACACATTATCTACTAATATCTCTTTTCTATAAACATAATTGACTATGTTTATGATTCACTTTCAGAGAATAAATTAAATAGATTTATCAATGAAAATCATACGGAAAAAGAAGTCATGAGCTCACTAGTTAACAGCCATCTATTATTCTTTTAGAATTAGAAGGGATTTTTCGAAAATTATAGTAATTTTAATAGTTGAGATCATGAGCCAATTGAAGATAGATCACCATGGAAAATCTGGGAGCACTGGACGACCGTTTCGTCTCATTGTGGGGCTCTTGAGCAGTGCGCATCCACGATTTCACCGGGTCTGTTGTGAGGTATTAACTCACTGAAGACAATGGTGGATGTGTCACTCAATTTCGTGGATTAGTTGAAGTTAGACATTGACACCGTTAATGTTTCAATAGTTGAGATCACGATTCAATTGAAACTAGACCGCCATAGAAAACCCGGATACCGGCTCAGTGGTCTAGAGGTTAAGCGTTCGCGCGTGAGACTGATTGGTCCTGGGTTCGAATCTCGTGGAAAGGGATCGTGTGAGCACACTACTGAGAAGTCCCACAGTAGGACGAAACGGCCGTCCAGTGCTTCCAGGTTTTCCATGGTGATCTAGCTTCAATTGACTCATGATCTCAACTATTAAAACTATAATTCTTTTGTTCATTTAATGAGTCAACATTTATGGATCGGTGATTATATTAAAATGTTTGAATATTTTTTCTCATTATGTCTTTATAGCCCTATAATGGTCTACTAGTTAAATTTGGTCCATTTTTCTTCAATCCAGAACAACATATTTTGATCTTGGTCACTAATGTAAGTTATGTAATTCTATGATTATTGTAGTGATTTGTTTAGGTTTTATGTATTTATGAAGAATTTATGGGATGAATTTATCCTACAGTTTAATCTCATTTTTAATACCATTGAAAACTAGGTACCACTGGAAAGCTGTTTTGTCCTAGTGTAGGACTCTTCTGCAATGAGCTACCATGATCCCGTTAAAGATCGCACCCAGGGCCTTCAGGTCTTCTCAACCATTGCAACTACTGAATCAGCTGTCAGTGGTATATTCCATTTGCAATATATTATGGCGATCATCCAATGCCATTGGTCAGGTTATACGTATGGGTACTGCTATGAATTTTCATACAAGGATAATGTGACTGTTTATTTCTCCCTGGTTTCCAATAGGGATCCCCAACTGAGGTCAGTCTGTTAATAATACAATCGAAGGGTTTTATTAGGTGGCGTTATATTTCCAGAAATAGAATTCAATATGTAGATTTCGTCTTATTCAGTTAGACGTCATCCCAGATAAATGTCTGTTTTTGGTTAAACTCTGCTGAACGGTTCAAATTTCCAGACGTTATACACCATGTTAATTATCTTTAAAATGAGTATTGACTCACAATATAACTGTGTACTCTTTCAGTTAGTGATTAACAATAAACTAGTGGGTCACCAATGAATAATAACATGTATAATAATAGTGTATGAGGTGTTCATTAAGGTGGTTTTTTGTGTCTCTAATAATAGGTAGCAACGTAATTTTCGTTCTAAACTGTAGTCGGCTCAAGTATTAACTTTTTTCACTACACTTTTGTCTTGGTTTTTTATCGCTGTATTGTGCAGTTATTACTCTACACAGACTTGAACCCAGGACTTTTGTGTTCCATAGATTAACTATTAGGCTAATAAAGTCGATAATGAGGCAATTGTTGTAGATAACAAATTAAATGATTCTTTATTTGTCCATTTTTTTTGTATACGAGAGTCATGACACTACTTTCTAACTTTTTGAATAGAAACAATTGTTTATTTTAACGTACTGTTTTCGAACCGTTGATTTGTAAGTCCAATCTATCACACAGCTTGTATAAGGATAACCATGAGAAAACCAAACGAAAGCATTAAGCAAGTTTATTGTGTCCTAGTATGAGACATATCAACAGTTTTTATCACATCCAAGACTGTACTAGTCATTGAATCCTTTAAGATCCTGTGGGAAGCAATAAACGAGCACGTATACAGTGGATCTTTATTTTCAATTTCAATTAATTGATTATATATTACTAAAATTAGTTAGTCAATCACTTCATGATGTGAAATATACTCAAATTAAGTAAATGTTCACAAACCTCTCATCCTTATTTGGAAAAAAAAACTAAATTGCCTAATTACTCTTAACTTTTCAGGCACCTGACGACTGGCTTCATTTATGCATTGAAATAAATCATACAAGTAATAAACATTGGTAAGCAGTTACAAGTTTATTTTGTGCACAGAAATTAACTGTTTTCTTTTTCACAGTTAAAATCACCAGTTTATTTAAACTAGAACGTCATTGAAAACCTGGAAGCATTGAATACCTGTTTAGTCCTGGTATGGAAATCTTCAGCAATGCACATCCATGATATCGCGTGCGGGACTCAAACTCAGAACTTTCAGTTGTTGTCATCTTGGCTATTCTTTAGATTTTCTTTTTACACGTTAGTTCATGCGATGCCATGAGTTACTGAATAGTTTTACGTAGCGTAACTATATACATGAAATAGGTTTTTAGTGAAATATACTTGATATATATTGGTGATAGTCATATTGTTGGGACGACTTCCGAAAGCTACAACGGAGCCTCCAAAGGCCCTAAAGGAGCCGAAAAGTTTACATCCAATCAGAACGTGATGGAGCATTCTAGAATATCAACGTGGCATGCTACTATCGGACAGTAGCATAACATACCAGTCTTCTGATTTGCGACTATGAGGTTCTATACGGTTGAGTTCCGTAGTTGTATACCGTATTTTGCGTAAATCATGTAGCGAACTTAACACATCTTTGAATAAATTTATCAATATGAACTAATGTCTTTAATTGGAGATCCTACAAAAGTTATGAATAATTTTCACCATTGATTGACCTTTAGCTTGAGAACCAATAAAAAAGTATGCTGGAAAGTTGTTTAATCTTAGTTTAAAGTATGTTAATTGATGTTCATCGCCAGTGATTGAACCCATTAACTTCAGTTCTCACAGAGAATGCTTAGCATTTGGACCCACTGAGTTAGCAATTAATGATTTGTATTTCACGATAATACTTGATCATTATCCGCTTGTTTCACAGTTGGACTAGATCAGTAATTAAAGTTATAGTTTTCTATTTATGAACTTTTCAATCAATTGTTCTATTTCCTTTCAATCATAGTGATTATTTTGTTCCGATCCCGTCATCTCTTGTCACTTGGTTACCGGATCCATTAACTGGAAGATCGATTGCAGCTGGTTTAATTACATTACCAATGTTACAAAAATTAAATGTGTTTCACAGCTTATCACTACCACTTACAAATCAAGAAAGCATTGATGAGTTAAAGTTGTATTTAGTAGTCTCAAGTGGTATAAATCCATTTTGGGATAATGTGAGTTATTTTGATCGGTTTTGTTTAAGTTAAGACTTCATTGCGTTTTTATTATTTTTTAAAAACATTCTTATACGGACGTATGTCTTAAAAATGTAGGGTAATGTTATAACTTTTGCTCCTGTCAATTATCACATGACAAAATTGCTAATCAGAATACCGATTTCAATTATCTTGTCCCTGTGCTAAACCAATAATATGTTGGTCAGCACAAGCAACGCTCGCGCGCGAGAATGATAAATCATGGGTTCGAGTCCCACGAGGCGGGGTCGTAAATGCGCAGTGCTGAGGAGTCCCACAATAGGATGAAACGGTCGTCTAGTGCTTCCAGGTTTTCCATGGTGGTTTAGCTTCAATTGACTCATGATCTCAACTATTGAAACAACTGCAATCTCCACCAAATCCCTTCTGATTACATATCAACTGATTCAACTAATCACTATTCTATTATTCTGTACATCTTTTATGGTATACTGGTGATACTGTTGTTCTACGTATATAAAATACATCTGATATTTAAATAGAATTTATATTTAGTCCAATACATGATTAAACTCCATTTATATTTTATACACTCTAGTCGATTAGTAACCACTACTTATTAGATATTTGGAATTGTTAGTTAGTTTATTGCCAATACCATGAGATTGAAATCGCTTCATATCTTTCTTTCTACGAACTAATTCTTTCTAATTCTTACTATGTCCTTATATGCAATCTTTCTTTTATATATTACAATCACTGAATTAACTACTTCTATGAATTTGGTGTTCGTCTTATTGTGCTAATGAGGTATGGCAAGTTGGACCGATGCATATATATGTGCCCGGTCCTACGTTGCAACTAACTGATTAAAAGAACTAACTGACTGCCAATAACATTGTTTCCTCTAAAACTATACACTATGGCAGTTAACTTGTAGTGTGCCCGTGGATCTGACTCCTATTTTAGATTGTATGGATGTTTGTTATCGCCTTTTCTCGTATATCATCGTCGACTTGAATCGCGTTATCCAATAACGGAATTAAATAAGTCGAATAACGAGAATTGACTTGAGAATACATATATTTCGTACATGAAGCGAATGAAGCACAGCAAAGCAATTTTGACACGTATGGAAGATGGCTGGGAAGCCAACCCCCTTTTAGTCAAGCGTTACTCAATATTTATAGTCAGACAAAATAAAGCTACAGACATGTGATTAATATGGTAAGAAGGGCACACACATATACGCTCATATAAAAACAGTCTAGATTGATAAGCGAATAATTCACAAGGTCAAAGTATGGCTCGAGTAGAATGAATAAAATGGGATGTCCGGAAGCTAGAATAAGGTATGTTGGCTTGGCATAATAGCTGACACTACAAACTGTTGATGAATTTTAGTGGTCCTAAATTCGACTCCATTTGAATTGTATGAATGATTATTCTTGAAATATATATGTCGTCAATCCTTATATATAATCATAGACTTAAATCGCGTTAGTGAATAACGGAATTAAATAAGTCATATGATGAGAATGAAGTTTGAATACGTTTATCTCATACCATCGTTGATCTGGATAGAAGATGAGAAAAACGAGGCGAAATGAAAATGATGCGAAGTCGAGATGGTGAGTGAGCCAACTCATTTTAACCAAGGGTTACTCAATATTTTATAGTCTGACAAAAATAAATTACAGACATATGATGAATAAGATAAGAAGTACACACACACACACACACACAAACACGGTTACATCAATCAATTAAGCGAATGATTAACAAGATGAAAATATGACTACTGGAGAAGAATGAATAAATTGGTTTTTCCGAAAGCTAGAATAACTTATGCGGGCTTGATATGAAACCCGACACCACAATTTAACAGATCAGAGTTCATATGTCCACCAGACTATGAATCCAGTATTACAATACATTAGTAATCTTGAATTGAGGGCACTACACACTTATCAAACTACTGAGTCGATGAAATTTAACACTGTTTGTATATTGTATAGTTGTAAGTGATGTCTAAGTATATTGCTGTGTAGTCTTAGAATAGAACAAAACAACTGTTCACTTTAACATGGTATTCAATGGTTTTAAGAGTGATTTCATATATATGAACAACCTAACCTATCACTTACACAGATCTAGACACTTTAATGAAATAGTCTATTTACTTGTTATTTATGCTTACAGTTATTTTTACAGACTATAAATGCACACTGGTTATTTACGTGTATTGTGTACATGTGAATGTATGTGTAAGTTTATGGGTGTTTGTGTGAATTGTGCAGTTTCTTGTCTCAACGTAAGGGTGTAAATCATATTACATTTTCATATAGTCCAAATTTAATTATCGAAAAAATAACGGTATTATTTCATTTATTTAACCTAATTCTTGTGACTTCATTGTATGACCTTTTAGAAGTAGTGATTTTCATTTCATTGTGATATGATGAGGTCATTAATCAGTGTATTGAACTAGTTCTTTTCTTGTCTCTAATCTACTAGTTGATTTCATATCCAGAAACGTATGTGTTTCTTTAACAATTAATACTTAAACTGTTCGACGTGTTTAACAAAGTCTTTTGTTCTAACATTTTAACTTGAAGTTTACATAGCTAGCAACATCCTAACATATCTCTTCAATAGATATTCTGTAACAGTATTTAATGTTTGTCAACTCTGTTAATTCAATCATTGTAGGAGAGGTGGGATATCATTAAACACATGGCGATTTTTGTATTTTTTTCTAACTAGTTTTTTTTCATTTAGTAGTTGAATTCATGAGTCAATTGGAGCTAGACCACTATGGAAAACCTGGAAGCTCTGGACGGTCATTTCGTCCTAGTACGGAACTTCTCAGCAATGCGCACCCACGATTCCGCCTTACGAGATTCGAACCCAGAGCCTACCAGTCTCACTACTGAGGAGTCCCATACTAGGACAAAGTGGTCGTCCAGTGCTCCCAGGTTTTCCATTATTGTTAAGCGTCAATTGACTCATGAATTCAACTATAAAATTACTAAAATCTCCACAAATCCCTTTCTGATAATATCAATAATCATTATAGTGTTACACAAAAGCTTTCAAGCACGTATACTAAGGTTTATTGAAGCCTTGGCTATACTGAAATTGAAACCCCCTTTATGTGTTCAAAAACAATTTGTGCTTACACTTAACCTACCCTGGTATTACTGATTTATTAACCAGAGTGGTAATCACATTTGTTTTTGTGTGCTTTATTATTTTTCCTTTGTTATGACTTACCCTTAACCTGTCTAGTTGACCTTTTAATTTTCATATATATATGTGATCAGATTGTTCGGAATGTATTGCGCAAATCTATCATCACACAATTCTGATAAACTTCGTCTTCTCATTGCATTATCGGAATTTGTCAAAAGGAATAATTGTTTTAAATCATTATAGTATTTATCAATGCCTGTGAACACCTTTCCTACGTAAAACCGTTCAGTCACTACTGATAAAAAAAACAACATTTTTTGACCTTTAAATGTTTACTGAAAATTAATACGAATAAGTTTAAGTTATCATTAACCTTTGTTTACTGTACTATAAGTCGGAAATTATGTACTAAGATCAATTCACTAGTACAACAACATTATTTATTTGAACACATAAATATTGGTACAAGAGGGCACCAAATATATATGCGCCACACAAAACAATGAGGACGGGAAGAGAAAAGGAAAGAAGGTAAGGAGCGCGAAGGAAAAAGAAGAAGGACAATAACGACCAGATTAGTGTAAGGTAGTGTAATAATAATAATAACAATAATAATAATAATAACAATAATAATAATAATGGGGGAAACGGAAAGGTACAACCAGAAGAAAACTTTCAGGTAAGGGAGACACAACCACTTTTTTAAATGAAGAAAGTAAAAGAAGATTACAGCGGGATCGCCACTGGCTTCTATTCTGAGCCATATCGGATAACGTCTCTAGCCACTGTGTAGCACCATCTCTCAGACCCCAACAAGGGGGTCGTGGAGGACCAACAGAAGCCAGTCCTTTGCAGCTTTCTTTCATACCACGACACCACCTCTCCGCTTTTTCCAACCAGTCCCAGCGTCGGCAAATAATGCAAAACGTGGAATTCTCTGGGACGACATTCGTAGAACATGTCCAAGTCACCGAAGTCGGTGTTTCAAGATGGTGACATCAATTGCATTGTCATCTCTGTGCCCGAACACACGATGCCGAACCTCTGCATTACTAACATGGTGTTGCCACTGGATGTCAGCAATCCTTCGGAGACAACGATGATCGAACACAGAGAGTCGTCTAACGTCCTCAACTCGGAGAGACCAGGTTTCACAAGCATAGAGCAAAACTGCTCTCACCGACGCGTTGTAGATCCGACATTTTACAGTCAGACTAACATCACGAAGGCGCCAAAGGTGGCCCAGATTGGCATAAGCCACTCTGGCTTTCACTATACGTGCATTGATCTCATCACTCACACCCCCACCAGCACTTATGCAGCTACCCAGATACACGAACTTCTCGACTACGTCTATCTGCTCACCATCCAGGGTGATTACAGGATTGGAATCCTGTCAGTCTTGTAGAAGTACTTTGCACTTCGAAGGTGCAAGGCACATACCATACCTACGGACACTGATTGCCAACTGATTGAGTGCGGATTGCATGCCTTGGGCATTATCGCACAGTAAGACAATATCATCCGCATACTCAAGGTTGAGAAGTCTTTCTCCAGGCAACAGATCCACACCACCATTACTTACATCCATCAGAGCTGTTTCGAGAATGTCATCGATGGCAAAGTTGAAGAGGAATGGTGAGATTGGGCAATCCTGCCTAACCCCACTGCTCGAATGGAACAATGGAGAAAGGTGGTTGTAAGCCCTCACTCTACCTGTGATGTTTGTATATAGGGCATTTAGGATGTTAATAAACTTCTCAGGCACACCCTTCTTCAACAGACAATCCTAGAGAGCAGTCCTGTCCAACGAATCGAAGGCA